CCATACATACTATGATGGAACATAATGTATCAAATAATTGCCAAAGTTTGTATTTAAAAATTCGATAACAACTCTGGCATTATGTGCTGGTACGATGCACCAGCATGTTAAGTGTCAAAGTATAACAAAACTGAATAAAACTTTACAATGAATTTCGAAAATTATGAAAAATGTAACATGATGGAATGCTATATGTTATCAGATAAGAATGCGACGTTAGCCGCGGAATTTTATTTCACAAGATATCCAGAAAGAAGACAACCGCACGTAAGAACCTTCAGCCGGTTAGCAGAAAATTTAATAGATATTTGGTCCTTCCCCAAACCACATACAAAAACATACCAAAATGACCTGCAAGAGAAATTGCAACAAGACGTCTGACCCAAAAGCCGCTGCTCCCGAATATGAAAGAAAAATAAGTATAAACCATACAAAGCGGGGCTAACTCATTATTTACGTGCCGGAGATGTCAATCGAAGATTAGAATTTTGTAGATGATATTTAAAAAAATTAAATAATCTGCTGTTTGTTCAAAATGTTATCTGGACCGATGAAGTCTCTGAGTGTTCAAAGAAGATTGGGGTTCAATGTATGGTGTGCCCTTTTAGATAATAGAATTTTGGCATATAGTATCTACCATAAAAACTTAAACTCAGGGAAATACCTCAATATATTAAGGCAGCACATTGAGCCTTTGGTCGACAATTTGCCACTAAATATGTCTCAAATGATATATTTTCAATATGACGGAGCACCAGCACATAATGCCAGAGTTGTTAGTGAATTTTTAAATACTACTACAAACTCAAGGACAGTAGAATCTAACAGGACTGCTACATCCATTGTTGTGACAGCCTACCCGCAAACTACGTCACACCATTTTCCACGCCTAGCTGTTGTTATGGTCTATGCGTTTGCTGTGTGTTTTTAGAGGTTATATCCTAGACGTATTCATATTAGTTTTGAAGTTTTATGTTTTTAGACGTATTAATGTCTATCATATAACCTCTAAAAACATAGACAGTTACCAGGCGTGGCAAATAGTGTGACGTAGAGTGCGGGCAACCAACCCGTAGTCGACTACAAAAATACAATGGATGTAGCAGTCCTGTTAGATTCTACTGTCCTTGCTACAAACTTTGGCAATAATTGGAAACAATGCTTTCCCTCATGGTATGGTTATCACCATAACAACATTAAGTTTTAAATACATACAATAGTTTTAGAAAGAACAAAAAAAATTGATACATTATATTCCATCATAGTATGTATGGTTATCACCATAGCAACATTAACTTTTAAATACATACATTAGATTTAGATGGAACAAAATGAATTTTTGTTAATTATTCAATAACTATAAGAAATATACCCCACAAACTATATATATTTGTTATCAGAAGAAAATAACAAATTATTTTAAGTCATAGCCAACTATGGTTTCCATTTAAAAAAATAAAGTTACGTCTAAAATCTCGAAAATAAAAGATGGGAAAAAAATTCTACCTACGCCACTGAATTCTTCGTAAAAAGTTGCCCATATAATGTTTTATTTATAATACTCCATCTTTGATAATAAGTGAGATATTCGCGATTGTCGTTTTTGCAAAATTTTCAGTTTTTCCCGATAGGGCGAAAACAAAAGACGATAGCTGTTCGGAGTTTTCGGCATTAGCATTTTCTCGAAAAACGAGATCATGACATGTAAGCTACTTTTTTTCTATCTCTTTTAGTTTTGGAGATAGCCTATGCGGACATCGAAATTGGGACACCCTGTACAGTGTTGGGCCAAGCACACTTCCTTAAGGAACTTCGGCTTGTATTTCATGTAGTGGTGAGTAAGCGTTTTCGTATTTTACCCTAAAATATCGATCAGAAAGATACGATTTTAATAGTTGACTATACGTTGATGGTAGTATTAGGTCTAGTTTGTAATTTAAACAATCTAATCAGACTTTGTCGAAAGCTTGTGCAATGTCCAAATACGGCGGAGCAGACTTTATTTTCTTCCATTGCTATTTCGATAGCATTCGTTATTCTATGTACTTGGTCTATTGTTGCATGTTTATTCCGAAACTCAAATTGATGTGTTGGTATTAGGGCTTTTTCTTCTATGACAGGTTTTAGTCTTTTTAATAGTAATTTTTCAAGCAGTTTTGATAATAAGTGTAATAATGAGATTGGCCTATACGATGTAACATCTGTGGGGGGTTTACAAGGTTTTGGTATCATTATTATTACAGCAAATTTCCATATACTTGGGAAGTATTTCTGTTAAAAAGCAGCATTAATTATGTGTAATAGTTTTGTAATCGCCCGTTTTGTTAGAAGTTTCAATGTTTCTCCATTCATTAGGTCATAGCCTGATCATACTGATTTCTTCATTTAGTTTTTGTATTTCATAATACAGTTCTTTCTTTCTTACACATGGTATATTACTCTGCTAATCACTTAGAATTATGCTAGGAACACTATTTAGCATTGTTGTTGGACTGTCTGATGTAAAAGTTTCTTTCAGATGTTCAGCAAACAAATTAACTCTTAGCTCAATTTCCATTATTATTTCGAATTGGAGGTGTATGTGTTTTTGGAACTTTAAACTTTCTTGTTGCCTTCCACAGAGAATAATCAGCACTGGCATCGTCAGTAAGGTCTTTTAAGTAATTTTGAATATTGTTTTCTTTGTGGATATTTGTTAATGCTCTTAATTCGGCTGTTATTTTATTTAATTTAGTTTTATCACTAGGAATTCTATTGGTTTGCCATTTCTTTCTTGCTTTCTGTTTTTCTGCAATTTTGTCTCCAATGAATTTAGGATAAGTATTAGATTTAGGTTTTGGTGTTAAAATTGGTGTTGAGGCCCAGGCTGCGTTTTGTATGTCTTTTAATAACTTTTCTACTTCATTGTCCCCCAAGACATATGTTTTGTATTAAAGTCTCCTCCAAGAATAAATTTGTTTTCAAGATGTAGTAGAATTTCCTGACAATCTTCTCTTTGAGATTCTCGGTGGTATGTACGTTACTGCTATAGATATTAAGCCATTAGCAATTTGAACTTTTACCACTGTAGTTTGGTGTTGTTCAATACTAATTGTATTGTTCAAATAGTAGCCTCATTCCTTTTAATAATAATTGCACTTCCACCTTGAGCCGCATTACTCGGGTGAATTGTGAGATAAATATTGTAATGATTGATGTTTAGATACGATTCCTATGTAAAGTGAGTTTCGGAGTTAAGATATAAATCAATATTGTTTTCTTGAAGTATTATTGGTAGTGAGTTTTGATGCTGTCGAAGACCATTCGAATTCCACAGCATTATTTTTAGTTGCTGCTTTTTAGACATTTTGATTTCTTTTTTGAATCGCTCCTTAGTTTAAATTGCTTTCAATGAAATCTAGAAGTTTTTATTGTTTCTTCTTGTTGAAGTATTTTTTCCTGTATTAGATCTAATTTATTGTCAGCCTTCTTATCGATTAATGTACTTACAGTTTTCTCTGCAGTTTCACTACTCGTTTTTTCGGCATACCAGACGCCTGGCTTTATTTTATTTTAATTTACTGTTTTCTTATTCCTGATGGCTTGTAGTTCCTTAATCACAATGCATCCTCGGTAGTTTGATGATTTTCTCCACAGTTGAAACATTTAGCCGGAATTTCTTTGGCTTTAGTGTATTCGCTGGTCCAGTGTTCACCAGCACATTTAACACATCTCGGATTTTTGAGCTTTGGTGTGGCTCCAAGTAACTCCAGGAACTCGCAATCGAATCATAAGCCAGTTTGAAATCTACGACGACGAGTAAAAACGTATAAACGTTTTAACGTAAAACGTTTAGTATTTGTTTAAATTCACGTTTGAAGCCCGCTTGGTATTCGCCAATTATATTTTCTTCAAGTGGTAGGCGTTGATAAATGATGTACAGAAGAAATATTCCCCGGTAAATAGCAGATTTTCAAAATGCATGGATACATTTTATGAGTTCACCAAATAATTTATAGATTTTTTAGTTTTTTTTTTGCCTTGTTATTCTTTTGGCCATTGGTTGTTGGTTCGACATCTTCTGGTGTTGGGGGGCTGTCCTTTCTTCCTCCTCAGTGCATCTTGTCTGATTTCATAATCCTCTTGTACTGCAAGCAGTGTGCAAAATTATTTCAAAATGTCTTAATTTTTGAGGGTCCGTTTCTATTTATAGTTTCGTCACTACAAATATTTGTTCTTTAATTTTTGCAAATGAGGTCTTTCCCATTTTCTCTTTCCCTGCTTCTGGACATTTTTACCGTTTATTTCTGGCGTTCTCAAATTCTGTTCTTCTTTCTCTTGTTCTTCTTGCTATATATATCATTTCTATGAATATTTCGCCATTGCTGCTTCCTCAATTGCTAATTTAATTGCTTTCCAGTGATCCTCTACTAGTTGATATGGTAGCTTTAATTTCTCAACGTCATTTTTTTCCTTTCCCGCAATTATCGTTGTTTCCAGATATCCCGCATCAGAATATAATTTGAGCTAGCTGGTAGTCAGATCCGCAGCACGCTCTTCTTCTTGACTTAACGTTAATATGCTACTAGCTGCTTTTACATTATTATCTTTGATTCTTATAATTATCTTTAATTCGCCGTACCACCATCCCATTTCACTACTACGAGGAGTCCGACCTGCCCACCCTGTTAGTCCACGGATGGTATTTTATAACGCCCCTATAGAGGTTTTCAAGATCATTGTTGCAAGAGTCTCTTCTTCATATTCTCGAACAATTCTTATGAAAGAAGAAACATCGAAACAAACACCACCTTATGATTAATTTCGGCTACCTTTATTCCTGTCTAGAATGTAGAACGCCGTCTTCCTTATCACTGATTTATTATCCAGTTTGCATTTCGGCTTAATTGAAATAATTGTCTCTTACCTTGAAACGATTAAGGTTTCGTCTTGCAAGCTAAAAATGTGAAAATAGATGTAATTCGGGTGATTTATGATGATTAAAAATCGATTTCTATATTATAATACATAATTTTATTTGGTGATTACAATAAATCCAGATAAACTTTAAGCTTTCAAAACTTATTTACTCCAGTTTGCGTTTCCTAATACTCATTTTCACTCCGTTATTAGATTTCAATATGCTTTCGACTGTGAGTTGAACTTGATGTCTAGGTTTTGTCTCAAACAACTCGAAATGACGAAGAATTTTTGATACGGTTGCTTTTATCTCTAGCATAGCGAACTTTTGACCTATTCATTAAAAGAAAATTAGTTTATTATCCACTCAAAACGATCGATATTTTTTTGTTACCAATGCAGTTTCTTGTCCCGGCGCTAAAAGGAATGTAAGCATATGGATTTTGATTGCTTATCGTATTCTCAGACTTAAATCTATCCGGCTTGAACGTTAAAGGGTCTGGAAAGAAATCGGGGTTTCTATGTACTCCGTAAATAAAAACGTTTATCATCGTTCCTTTTGGAATTATTTTATTATCGTATTCGACGTCGTTAATAGCTTGTCGCCCAATTAGAGGAACAGGGGGGTACAAGCGAAGCGATTCTTTAATAACGGATTCCAAATATTTCATACTTTGTAGGTCACGATAACAAATCGGTCTATTCCAATCATTATTATAAATTTCTTTTAGTTCATCAATAACTTTTTGCTAAAATATAAAAATTAATTCCAAAATGAAAGTTAATTTATAATTCGACATAATACCTGAATTTCTTGATGATTTGATAAACAGTATAAAGTAAAAGTAATCGCAGAAGAAGTCGTATCATGCCCAGCAAACATGAAAGTATCGACTTCTTCACGAATACATACATCGGGAATTGGTTTTCCATCAACTTTCGACTTTAAAAGTATATCGAGAAAAGTTAATCGTTTTTTAATTCCAAAATCGTCGATATCATCTTGGACTTTTTCGTTTTCTAGTAAAGATTTTCGATTTTGAATAACTCCCATTGAAAAATTATGCAACACTTTTAAACTACGCAATTCCAAATAGTAATTATAAGTGAATTTGTATAAAGTTTCAAACATTTGTATCGGTGAAAATCCACGTTCGATCACGATTCGAGCCATCTCTTTAACACTTTTAACGTATTTTGAGTTGGATTCAAGCTGGGCGTTTATACAAGTTCCCATTGATGATTCTAAAAATGTGCATAATTATTTTGTTTCATTAACGAATTTGTTTCATTTTGCACCGCAAATAACATCTAAAGCACATAATTGTATAAAAGGATAAATATCCACATCAGGTTTATCAATATTTTTCGAAAGTTTTTCGATTAAAATATCAGTAGTTGAATTAAAAACGTCCATAAACTGTTCTAATATTTGAAAGTGAAAAGCTGGTGTTAAAGTTTTTCGGTATTTTCTCCATTTCTCACCTATTTTAAAGACAGTTAAGTGTAGAATAAAATGAATTGTAATATTTACCTGTACTCGTTAACAGTCCGGTTCCTAACCATCGATTAAAGTAATCGTAAGTAGCTGATTTATCGATAATCGAATTTGAACTTAAAAGAAATTCAAGTGATTTAGAATCGCCCATCATAACATTTGGTTCGATCGCAAAATATAAACGAAAAGTTTTCCCAAATTTTTTTTCCATTTCTAACATAGCTGGGATGATTTCTGGAAGCAAATAAATGACAAATTTGTATTATATACATGGAAAACATATTATTGGGGATTAATGATTCGTTAAAAAAAATAAAAACTTTAAATTAATCATGCAACGTTATGGAATCAAATAGAAATAGAAATCGTAACTGTATTTGGCTATGCGATAACCGGTAATAAGTCATTAGCTCGTTGTTTATATTGTGCTTAAAAAGAGGCAGACATTATATATGCTAATTGGTCAACATGTCCACAAAATCTGTAGCCCTAAAAATCTCTTAATTCAATCATATTGCGAATTATGTACACAAAGAGTAAAGAATAATAAATAAAATAGAATAGTTAGAACAATACTAATTCCCACTTGTTTGGGGAAGAGAATGCTTGTGTAACTAGGTGATCTACTAAAGTTATATACCACTCTATAGAGAAAAAAAATTCCTATAGCTTCTATGGTCTCAGAGTTTTGTCTGTATCATATAAAAAAGTTATGACGCCGTAAATATTTGCATACGGCAATTACACCCGGTTTTCGCAGTTTTTGCGTAAGAAAATGCTTGTGCAACCATCTACGTCTACTAAAAGATAACTTTTCCGGAAAATTTCCTATATGTTCTATATAGTTTTACAGTTTTGACAGTATCACATAAGAATATTATTTAATGCGCTCCAAACACACCTATGCGAAGTTAGTCCCCAATTTTTCTAGCCCCCAATTAGATAGGATTTTACATGTATAGTATTTTGATTATAACAAGAGAACCAGTCAACCGATTTCGATAAACAATGTCTCATTCGAAAGCTTAATCCTTGGCCAATACGAAAGTGGAAATGCCCGATTCGAAATCTCTCTCGAATTCCGCTAAAACGCCAAAATAATGCGAAGGTACACGAAAATAACACAAAAATGACCTTTTTTAGGTGGCGATAACTCGTAGACGATGTACCCGATGATCAAGATCTATACGTCATTCGATTCGTCATAGTTTCTTCTATCGAAATCACAAACTGCCCAATTTCAATTCTCTCCCGTTAACCTTGTACAGCCCACGGAATGACACCGTGTTCGGCTCGTTGTTTACGCACTTATGAACGCCCGAAAGTCTAGCCCCCAATATAAAAAAATTAATTTAAACTAAATCGACTATAATAAGAGAACGGTTTGACGGATTTTAATGTTTTATATGTCAATCGATAGCTTTCGCCTGGCTGAATGCAGTTGTCGAAATGCTCGATTCGAAGTATTTAAGAATTCTGATTAAAACACAAAAAGCGAATTAATAAAACACATCAATTATCTCCTTAACTAATTGACCAATTTTAGTCATCAACATATCGATCGAAAGTATGATCTACAATAAATGCGAAGATGGAAATGCCCAATTTCAAAATTTAGTAATTACCTGCGTACGGCTATTGAAATGACGCCGCGAATCTAACGACTAGAAGTCGAGCCCCCAATGTAAAAAAATTAATTTAAACTAAATCGACTATAATAAGAGAACGGTTTGACGGATTTTAATGTTTTATATTTCAATCGATAGCTTTCGCCTGGCTGAATGCAGTTGTCGAAATGCCCGATTTCAAATTTACGGCTGTTGAAATGACCACGCGAATCTGCCGACTGGAAGTCTAGCCCCCAATAAGAAAAAATTAATTTGATTAAATTCGCTATAACTAAAGTACGGTTTGACCAATTTTAATGTTTTATATCTCAAACGAAAGCATGCGTCTGGCTGAATAATTATGTCGAAATTTCCGATACGAAATATTTAAGGATTTTGAATAAAACACAAAAAATTAATTAATCAAATAAGTAAATTATCTCCTTTATTAATTGACCAATTATAGTCAACATCATCTCGATCAAAAGAACGATTAAAGGTGAATGCAATGATGTAAATGTCCGTCAAACCGTTCTCTTATTATAGTCGATTTAGTTTAATTTAATTTTTTTATATTGGGGGCTAGACTTTCGGGCGTTCATAAGTGCGTAAACAACGAGCCGAACACGGTGTCATTCCGAGGGCTGTACAAGGTTAACGGGAGAGAATTGAAATTGGGCATTTTGTGATTTCGATAGAAGAAACTATGACGAATCGAATGACGTATAGATCTTGATCATCGGGTACATCGTCTACGAGTTATCGCCACCTAAAAAAGGTCATTTTTGTGTTATTTTCGTGTACCTTCGCATTATTTTGGCGTTTTAGCGGAATTCGAGAGAGATTTCGAATCGGGCATTTCCACTTTCGTATTGGCCAAGGATTAAGCTTTCGAATGAGACATTGTTTGTCGAAATCGGTTGACTGGTTCTCTTGTTATAATCAAAATACTATACATGTAAAATCCTATCTAATTGGGGGCTAACTTCGCATAGGTCATTAGATTTAATGGAATTGTAAATTAAAGAGAAACAGAAATAAGCTATACGGGGAGAAGAAGGTTCCGACAGGAGGGTTGCGACAGTACGTCGCGCCTTTATCTTACCTAAATAAAGAAATAAGGCGCGACGTCCTGTCTGGGACGCACCATCTGTTCCGATTGGACGGAACCCCCGTCACCCCACAGAGCTTATTTGTGTTTCTCTTTAATTTATAATTCCATTAAATCGCTCTTAAAACGTTAGGGAACTCTAATTTTGAAAAACTGATAACGGAATCCGACAATCGACATTATTTGACATATTTTGGTCAAATCCGCGAGGAAATCCACCCAGTCGTTTTCGACATAACGGCGTCTTGCTAAACTGCGATTTTCCGCGAAACTGTGTGGAACATCGAAAAAATAAAATATGCCACTCATTAAGAACACATCAGGCTACCACCTGTTCAAAATTAAAATGTTTTCGTTAGATAGTTTTCGAGAAAAAAAATGGCAAAGTTGACAAAGTTGCCGGTACCGTAAAAAATCGGGTACTTTTTTCATTTAACTCGCGAAAAAAGAAAACCGTGAATCCAAAAATTTTCAAATTAACATAATTATATTATGTAGAAATGTTCAGTGATTACAACAAACTTTGTCGCAATTTTTTTTATCGAGCGGTTGCGAAGATATCGATCTCTAAAATGAGGGGCCTTGACTTTTTGCACGGATAGTAGTAAAGTACATAAAAAACCACAGCTGTTACATACGATACGCATACAATATTGAAAAGTGTGTCATACGTGATGATAGAAGGACAAAAAATGAACTCAGATGATTAAATGGAACGCGATTTCTAAAAATGGTGTGATGTCACGTTTAACCTTTCTACTTAGGTACCTATATTTGCTAACCTACATTTTATATTATTTTACTTAAATATTTTGTTTGCAAGTTTTAGTTAAATTCAAAGATAAAAAGAAACAACAGCAAATAAAATTAAGAGGAGTAGCTTACACTCAACTTTCTTATTCTGTTTAGTATAAATTATTTATGTTGCATTAATTTTTTTGTCTCTGATCTTTCCCGCAAACATTATTAGGAGTTGACTAATTTTGTTCAACTATATTTCGAGAAAAGAATGTGGTCACTAAGACTGACCCATGTTTTCAATTGTCGCAAATAAAATTATCGTCAGATTAAGGGAAGAAGTTTCAAAAGATTATGATAAAGTTCTCTAATGCTCTCTAATCTGAGAGCTCAAGAATAGCCAATCGATATTCAGAGTCAGACAGATTCAAAGATCAAAACTTGCATATAACAGCCATTTGGGACATCAGAAGTATGTGCAATGCCGTAAAGATACATAACATAATCAAAGAAATGTATAAACGTATAAACACACTATACATTATGAATGCGAGAAATAAGTCTAAAAATAAAATCTGACGTAAACGCGGAAGAATTGACCATCTTTTTCATGTGTACACCGTTGGAAATTGCATCATCATTGATGAGTGATGGTTCAAATAGCTCCAGTGATTACATGAACTGTGTAAAATCGAATGTTAACTAGTTTGTACTGTTTTCTACGAATGAATTAGAGATATTTAAAAGAATTTAAATTAAGATTATTATGGTATGCCAACGAGCATTTTAAAATTTATTGCTTATATCATTGTTGAACCATTAAATATTGTTATTAACAAATGTTTTCAACAGTTCATTTTCCGTAATGACCTAAAAATTGCAAGAATATCTCCCATATACAAGAAAGGTGATGTAAATGATCCTAACAATTTTCGGCCAATAGCTATTTTACCAACAATGTCAAAACTTTTTGAGCATCTGCTGAAATCGCGTCTTCTTGACTGTTTGTACAAGCAAGATGTTTTCAGTAAACATCAATATGGCTATGTAAGAAAATCCTCCACGACTAAAGCTCTAATTGATCTACATGAGCAAATCATTAATGAATCAAAAAAAATGTCGGCACTAATGTTGAACCTTACAAAGGCATTTGATTGTGCCAATCATAAGATACTGTTAGAGAAATTGGAATATTATGGCATCAGACACCCCACGATAACTGTGTTTCAATCGTACCTAGAACATCGAAGACTGGTGGTCCAAGTTGGTAATAATAGATCGACCATGAGAAAGGTGGAAATCGGTGTACCGCAGGGATCGATCTTGGGACCAATTTTATTCCTTTTATATGTGAACGATCTTCCGGAAACTCTGAAAATGTGTAAGACGATAATGTACCCAGATGACACAACATTGATAAATATATCTAGTACAGTTGAAGAGCTACACCAATATGAAGGTTTCAGTCAAAAGGTTGCATCAGATTGGTTTAACACGAAGAAACTTAAGCTGAATGAAAATAAGACACAAAAGATTGATTTTAGTACTAAACCAAATAATACCGTCTCGGCAGTTAAGTTACTGGGGCTGAAGTTTGAAAACTCTTTGAAATGGAATCTACAGGTGGACGTAATAGGAAAGAAACTTAGCTCAGTAGTTTACCAACTTAGAACACTTATTAGCCAACAGTTTTGCAAACAATGATGGTGGTATATTACTCGAATTTCCAGAGTGTGATGTCATATAGCATTCTATTTTGGGGAAGTTCACCA